TGGCCCGGGCGGTGTCCTCGGGCTTCAGGATGCTGCTGTCCAGGCTCTGGGAGTTGTTCCTGGCTGTGACGGGACAGAGCAGGGCAGGGACGAAGTGGGGCCTGGAACTGGGGCGGTGTACCAGACTCACAGCCCTTCCCCAGACTCCGGGGGCACGTGGTGGGAGGCCCGGCCGGTTGCACTCTATGCCTATAGCCTCCACGCCCTCGGGACCAGACCAGCGCAGCCCCTTCTTTTCTGTTGGGCCGGGGCGTTTTTATAGCATGAGGGAGGGACCCATGCTCGTCACTGATCTCCATTGGACGGGCTGGAATTAGAGCAGGTTTACCAGATGTCCCCTATTCACAAAAGGGGAATACGGTCACCCTAGTGAGGGGTGGAGAAAGCGCGGCCTCCCCCCCATCCCTGCTGCCAGCCTCCCCCCAGCTGTCAGAGAGAGGCAGTAGGGCTCAAGTGCTTCCCTCTCCGGGGCAGAAACACAGAACAAGGCCGATCGGGAGGTTGCTCATTCCTCGCTCCCCCTCCCACCTTGAGTCGGGCCCTTGACTCCGTGGCTGATCCGCCTCTGTACTTATCAGACAAGATCCAGCAGCCGGAGACAGCTGGTCAGAAAGTGCGAGGGGAGAGCGAGTCCAGGCCCTTTTCGTTCGATATATTTTTCCAGCAAGGAAAAAACTTTGGACTGTCACGAGCCTGGCACTTTACCACACGACTTCTGGTTCCTGTGACTGGTTGTACAGTGCTGTCTACACCTCCCGCCCGTAGAGGTACTTATCAGACAAGATCCAGCAGCCGGAGACAGCTGGTCAGAAAGTGCGAGGGGAGAGCGAGTCCAGGCCCTTTTCGTTCGATATATTTTTCCAGCAAGGAAAAAACTTTGGACTGTCACGAGCCTGGCACTTTACCACACGACTTCTGGTTCCTGTGACTGGTTGTACAGTGCTGTCTACACCTCCCGCCCGTAGAGACAGAGGCAAAGCTCCCAGTCTGGACAGACAGAGGGGAGAGAGAACGGGAATGACTTTCCCTAGATTCCCCACAGGTCAGTGGCAGGAAAGGACCCAGGTGCCCTGCCCCCGGGCGGCCCCCCAGCCACTAGACAACACTGCCGCTTCGCTTGGGTCTGTCAATGTAGCTTTTCTCCTGCGCTTGTTCCTGGGTTTCCATTCACATTGATTTGTACAGTGCGCACGGCCGAATGGGATCTCGCTGCTTAGAATCCGCTGCTCCTTTTTTGCCGGGCCCCGCGTTGCGCTGTGTCACTGTGTTCCGGGCGCAGTAATAGGTGGCGGTGTCTGCAGCTGTCAGCGAGCGGAGCTGCAGCGAGAACTGGTTCTTGGACGAATCAGCACTAAGCGTTGCGCGGCTCTGGAAAGCCGGGCCATAGTTTATGCGCCACTTAGAGTCACTCCAGTCGATCTCTCCTACCCACTCCAGCCCTTTCCCTGGAGCCTGTCGGATCCAGTCCCACCAATTACTGGTGACAGAGTCACCACTGATGGCGCAGCTCAAGGTCAGGGTCTCTCCGGGTTTCACTGCGCCGGGCCCGGATGGGATCAGCTGCACCTGAGAGCAAACACCTGAGGAGAAAACAAAACAAAATGTGGCAGAAATTCATCCGATCAGCCCCCTCGCTGTGTGATTCCCGGCCACAGCTGGGGGCAGCGAGCAGGCAAAGGAAAAACAGCAGAGATTCCATTCTCGTTCCGCAGCGGGCCGGGCAGGTCTGTGTCTGGGCAGAGACTGAGGCTCCTAGAACCAGGGGCTAGTATTTGAAGCAGAACCCCCCTGGGGCGGGATTTGCATACGGGTTGTGCACCATGAATATAAAAGGGGACAGGGTGTGAGCGGAGTCCACACGTGGGAGTGAATTCAGCTCCGCGAAGGGTGAAACCTCCTGAACTATTTAGACGCTGAAATTCACTTGGCAAACATTTAACCCTCTTAAAAGTCTTTGAAATTCTCCCCCAAATGTAAGCACAGGAGGGCGCCTTCTCAGGAATAAAGGACATTTTGCAGAAGAGAAATTACAACCCCTTGGGGGGGGGGGGGGATTTCAGAAGAGCCAGCGGGAATTATGAACCCAAAAGGCATCAAAATTCAGTAGGATCCGGGACTTTAACTGTCAGTCTGATTTTTGTTTTATAAAAATTCTGTTCACCAGCAAAGCCCAAAGGTCCCCATTTGTGCATTCAGAGATTTGCAGGGAATTCACAATCTACAGTCACCACTGGGAAGTTTTGCCCTCGGGTTCTTATCTGATCCTTATGGCTACGGGATCCGCACCCCTCACGCTGTGTAGCGCCCACGGTCTCGCTACATCCCTGCGGCAAGCGCGCTGTTACCCGCATTCCGCAGGCGAACACTGAGGCTGGGGCAGACGGAACGACTGCTGCCAGTCGGTCACAGGGGAATTCCGAGGCAGAACAAGGAATCGAACCCGAGTGGCTGGGTTGTGCCCTCA